GACTGGGGAGGAACCTGAGTGATACACAGTGCGGTAAGTAAGCATTTGAACTACATGGTATGCTGCAATGACCTATAGTACAAGTGTGCTGGCACAATGCACCGTTAATTAACTGCCACCTGTACAGTAGCGGTACATGTACATGTACATTCCTACATGTACATGTACACTTATATTCCCACGTGTGCCAAATGTACATGTACGTACACACTGTACATGTAATCATGTCCGTGGAGTACATGTACTACACATTGTGAGCATGCATATTGATACAAGCACAGGTATACACGTACATGTGCGTGCAGTCACACATGTACATGTACCACATGCCATTGACTTTTTTTCCCTAAAATGATGGTAAATTCGGTTTATGTACATGTACTTGTGTAAATACATGTTAATGTACATAAACCGGTATGTAAAGCTGTGAAGTACAACATGTACATGAACAACATGTACAAACATTCATTCAGGTAGCCTGGCAACTTTCAAGGGCATTATCCGCACAGATAGATTGATACACTAGGCCTACCAGTACCATTAGTTGTATGGGCAATACTGCATGTGCAATGTACCCCCGGCCGGGTACACGTACTGTACACGGTGTATGGTACATACATGTACACACATCCTCAGGCTGAGGCTCTGCCGTTTTCTTCAGAATGGTCAACTTCAAATCAATCTTCTCTCCAGTTTTGACCAAGCACAGTGCATGAAATTGTAACATGCTACCAAATCGTAACACCAAGTAGAGTTCCCGCACTGGCCAGGGTACAGCAGTGTTTTAATTCAGTTCATTGAGTTCTGTTTTTCTTGGAAATAATCTTCCTCTTGTGCTACATCCAGAGTGTTTGTAACGTAATTGGCTTCACTGTCTGCCATATTATCAGGTTCCATTTATTACTAGGAAGTTGATGTTGACCTTAAGGTAAGCGACATCCATCCACTCAACCGCATGCGGGAGATGGCTTGCTCAAGGATTGTAAATCAATTCACTCAGGTACACCTGTAAAGAGCTGGAGGGCAAATGTGACCCACTCTGTGAAAGTGAGTCTTAAGTCACCAGAGCCACTTTTTGAGTTTTGACAGGGAAAATGAGTTTTTGTTTGATGTATCACTCACTTTGGCATCCTGATGAAAGTGGATACTCCATGGTGACAAATGCTGTGGGGTCCTATTGATTTACACTGTGCAAAATTACTCTAAAGGACTTTTTACTCCAAAGTGCATCTGGCGACTTAAGACTCATTTTCACAGAGTGGGTCACAAATGTACTTTGTGGGACAATCTGAATGGTCAACTACATGTAGCAATGAATTAATGCTCCTCAGCACTGCCATAAAATGTACCTGTACCCTACAGTTTAGCAGGTCCATATTGCATACACGTACAAAAGTGAATCTACGCGGTGCATGCATTTAGCAAGTACATGAAGAAAACGTACATGTACATGTACAATATCACACATCTTCACTATGATACACTTTTGAAAATTTTACAATGCTATTCCATGACTGTTTAATTTTTTGTTTTCATTTCGTTTTTTTTGCTTGTTTTCTTTTCGTTTTTTTTATGTTTAACCCTGAACAAATAATTTTATGATTATTTTTAAGTACCTTTGACCTTTTGTAAATATTGGTCGAAGTTTTCAACAGGTACATATGTTTATGAATTTCCGTATTCCATGATAAGCTGGTGGCAGCAAACACACCGCATTGTTTCTGCCAGTACTGGGTATGCGCGTGTACTTCTGAGCATGCCTACATACATGTACCGGTACTTCTGAGCATGTGCACAACTGTAGACAGGGGCCGTTATGTCTGCTGCCACCAGGGTCTCAAAGACTCCCATGCACAGTCTTAACGTATCGGTACAGTGCCCGGATAACATTACATATTGCGCATTGTAGACATATGAATATTTTATCAGTAACTGTATCAATGTGCATTCATGCATTCATGCATGTATTTCAAGTTTCCCCGTGCACTTTAACAGGTTCTTCCAACAGATGCAGTACACACGATACATGTAATGGTCATGTATGAGCACACAGCCTCAATAAACAAGTTGAATAAGATAAAGAATGTCAGGAGATAAAATCCTTGATTGGCAGATTCTCCTTGTCTTACATATCAATATCCATCTACATGTACATGTATGGAAATGCCTTTTAGACAAAAAAAATACAAACACAGAAAACCTAGTCAAAATACATTAAAGAAATTTTGCTCTGAGCTTGGAGTGTTTTGTAGCTTACAATGACGATGTATGACATTTACATGAAGGTCTTTGACGGTGCTAGCTAGAGAGCTCCAGCGTAAAGCACATCGTAGCGGTACCAGGAGTTTTCCCACTAAAGGTTCTAAACTGCAATACAATCTATATGTACATGGAGTTCCCACAAGAAACATTGCAATGATGAGTGTATGTAAATGCATGTTCCCACAGCCACGAATCAAGTACATGTGGGTCATTCTACATGCAAAAACTTTGGGGTCCATTTTCCTGTTCCTGTTACATCTGGCATTTGATTTTAAATCTTTAGAACTTATTGTTTAATTTCCAAGACTGCATAAGTACTGCAAATTACTGGTCAAACTACAATAATTTGAAATCAATTTCAGTGATACATCCCTTGTCAAACTTGTCAGATGGTTGTCAGAGCTAACAGGGACAGAAAAATATCACACTTTGGACCCCAAATTTATAGAATGACCTACATGTAGATGTAACTCTTTACAATAGAAAGCTAGCCATACTCTACATGTACTATGCAGCTCTAGGGAAATTTTACACTAAACACTCTATAGATGTACATGATTTCCCGCACTGTACCGGTAGTTGTGGGGACGTACATGGACACTCGATATTTCACCTATTTTGTGTGGACTGCAAATGTTGTGGGGACTCAGAAATGTGCCCACAACTCGGTTCAAATTTTGCTAACAAAAGAACTTGTCCCCTGAATGCAATGAATGCCTACCCTGACCTCCCGGTACATGTATGGTACATTTACTTGCTGCTAATAGTGTACATGTAATCCCACACAGTCAAACAAGGCTTGCTTTAAATGTCAGTATTAATACATGTGTGGTCACAAATAAACTACCAAAACAAACATGAACCAGGCATGAGTTCCCAAGCAAAGTGTCCACTAATTCAACGTCAACATGTTCACAAGCTGGTCACAGAAATTCACAATTTTTTCTGAACTATAGTACATGTATAATGCAAGCATAGCGATACATGTCTGCCAAAACCAGGCAGCTGCAACATCACAGTCTCAGCACATCGACCTGATGAAGGTGCATCACACCAGCAGCTCTGGCCACATCTACAGGTACCGGAATCATAAGACTTTTTTCAATTTGCGAATCAGCAAAATGTTTACCTTGAGCGGCATCTGCCCCTTCCTCCACTTTCTTGCTCCCTTTCCGAAATTTCTTGGCCAAGAAACTCATCTCCTTGTCAGACTTCGCTCCTTCCCGGTAATATCCTCTCACTGTTAGAACAGACATGGGATTATCAATTTCAAAAGTTGGACAATTTGTAGAGTCTACAAATTATTGACGTGCCCAGTTCGCATGCAACAAGACATAAAACGATGACTGCAAGTGGTGTGCTCAACTGTAAGCAGAATTCCTGAATATTAGCAAACATCAAATGGGTACAAAAATAAACATTATTTCTTGTCAATCTGCGCTTGAAAATTACAACGCAAGGTTTGTCCAAAAGGAGGCAAGACAAAATAAAACTCACATTTCTTGGAGATGGGAAAATAAAAATTACATGTACATGTAGTCTGTAGGGTAGTGAGAGAAGTGCTATTTAGCACAGGTGTACATACATGTACATGTACATGTACACTACCAACCCAAATACACACCCTAACCACAGACTTCTGCCCCTCAGTCAACGCAACTAACGATTAACCCTGCCCCCACAGTCACCCTCAACAACGTTCCACACCATCCAGCCACTCAAGTAACCTGTGCACTCAGAGGAATAAACACACAAATCACACCCTTCCCGTTGGCTGTCATCCACTTTACAACCAGTAGGAGCTAGTAGGAGCTAGAAACGCGTTTCGAAAAGGGGAGAAAAAAAGGAAACCTTTATTTGTGGCCGGAGCAGTCAAGGACACTTCTTGATTGAAAACACTATGCCATTCATAAATTGCAGGACAATCTCCTACCCACAACTTAATTGCCACTATTGACAAGCTAATGATAAAAGGCAGAATGACTTTTATGATGCTTGCCCGGTCAACTATACATTTCCAGGGTAACTTTTATCACAATGTACACATTGATGTCACTCGATAATTTGTTTGGTTTAAAGGGATACTAAAACAGTTCTGTAGGATTGTCCATTGAGTTTCAGTCGATGGTAATGTGAGTTTTTTACTCACATCAAAGGCTTCAACAACTCTACACATAATATATGAAGTATTCTGGAGGCAAAGTGAAACTAAGAATTAGCTGTTCCCAATCTCAATTGGGAACAACTTTTGTAAACGTTAAATTTTTTTCCTTTTCTTTATCCACTTTTTTTTCTGCAAGGCACTTTGGCAATTATTTTAAGTCTGATCGATTTCAAACTTGGTATAGTAATTAACCATCATCAAAAGATGTGCCGCGAAACTTTTTGTAATCGTGACGTCATTAGGGGTCACATGACCTCCATTCAAATGTTCATTCTTTACAGTCTAATAAGTAGTAAACTATTTGACTGATTTTACTCAAATTTGGTATGCACATAGTCAGGGACGTGTTACAGATGAAAATTGATAACTTGACCTCATGTGACCTCTACTTCCGGTTTGAACGGAAGTTGTATTTTAACACACACATCGTCATATCTCATGAACTATACGTTCAATTGCAGTGATAATTTGTTTTTCAGTTATTTGTAATCCAATTAATTGCAAACTTATGATACTTGTTGACAGTCATCAAAAGAAATAAAACACATTTTGGGAACAGCTATGTGTTTGTTCACAAACACATTTTCTCTAGTTTCAATTAAAAGTTGACTTTACCTACATGTACTTGAAATAAATTTAATCCTTACAAAAACATTAGCTTTTAGAGAAAAATACAAACTGAAGGAATTATCAAATTTTCATTCAATATACATGTACATGTACACATCACTTGGAAATGGTTGCCTTCTAAAGTTCTGAATCTCTCCAACACAGGTAACAGGTAAACAAAACTCTATCTGAAGTCTATTTTCCTGGTTTCAGTTTCCAATGGGGAAATAATATAAGTTATACTTTACTTGAGTAATCTGATTACATGCACACAGTAATTGCTCCTTCGCTGTAATGCACGCAGCTCTAAAGGTGTTTTGATTTTCAAACTTATGATTATTATTTGATTATCAACCTTAAATCTATGTGACTAGCTTTTATTAGTAATTGTCAGGGGTGTTGCAGGGGGGCAAGTGAGACAATGGGGGCAGTTACATTGCATCCCCCACCCCATCAAAAAATAAATAAAAAATAAAATATAAAACAGGAAGGAAACAGAGAGAAAAAACCTGTAAATCAGAAAAGAGGAAAGTGGATAAAAAAACACCAATTTGCTTGAAAATACCTCCCAATTAACCCCTTAAATCATTCATGACTTTTTATTTTGTTTGCTGCCAGTGCAATTGTTTTCCTCCCCCCCCGAATAAAAATCTGGTAACGCCCATGACAAGTGTTGTGATTTATATGTACATCTACAACATTTATTTGGGCCTGAGTACCTGAACTACACGAATATGTACCGGTAAGTACTTAAAGTTGATGTTTCTTTTTTCGTCAGTTCCAAACCAAGTTGTCCGTACACTGTGAATTTGGGTTTAACAACCCAAGTACTGGTGCGTGTACACAGTGACTCACGGTCTACATGTACAGACTTGTGATTTGGCTTAAGTTGTGAAAAGCTTCACAGTGCCACCATGTCAAAATACTGATGTGGTCAATTCAAGCGTAACAGACATGACATTCAGATAGTTTCTTGTAATTCAAATCATCGCACAGTAGAATTGGCAGAACTCTCCAAACCATCTTTATTGAGTTTATTAGACACATTCATGGGCAGAAATCCCGGGGCGGACCAGGGGGACACATCCTCCCCATGAATGTGGTACAGGGGGGGACACAATGTCGAATGTCCCTCCGCATTTCAAGCAAAACAAAATACTAAAGGAATTGATGGATGGAGGATTTTCCCTTTTGAGTTTTTATAATTGGAATAAGATAATAAACATGGTGTGCACAAAAAAAACGTAAATGGATGTCCCCTCCACCATCAAGGAGAGATTTCCGCCCATGGACATATTTAACTTCCGGTATCAGTGACAAACACATTGGGTTTCACACAGTTTTATTGAATGGTTGTAGAGAAAATGCACTCACTGTGAGAGTAATGGACATGACATGAAATGGACAAGGCATTTTGACCTACATGTACTGTTAATTATGAAAATTCCTGTGAGTTTTTGGATAGAATGCACTTGGTTTTGGTGTTAATAAAACCCGAAGGTCATGCTTTAATCATAAAGTCATCTCATTGAACAGTTTTTCATTGCATTCTTTTTCGACAGTTCAAAATGTAGCGCGACGGACATGACACATTTAGCATAACGGACATGACAGTTTTGTCCACTTTTTATAAGGTATGGAAAATATTTCTTTGTTTTCAAAGTAAGGTTAAAAGATACACGTAGGAACACACATACAGAATACTGTGACTGGTATTCTTTTTGTACTTTCAGAGGGGCTGTTTTTTTCAATATTTACAAAATAAAAAAATTAGCAAACTTGCTTCTGCACCAGCTAGCTATAGTAGCTACATGACTAAAAAGTAGGCCTTGTGACTTAGAGTTCTCGAAGTCGAAGTACATGTAGGCCTACAGTTTCTCAGACCATCGTTGTCTTATTGCTTAGTCAGTACACAAGCATGACAAGGTACACCCTAGGCCACACCATATCGCGAACTGTACCAACAGCTAGCTGAGAAAGTCGACACATCTCAACCCGGAGACCATCATGACCATCTTTCGAGTGCCGGGATGATGACGAGGACAGAGATGTGACGGTCACAACCAACATACCCAGGCCAAGGTCTTAGGAGATCCCTCCTACATCATGTTCACAGGTTAGAGTAAAAATACTTTATGAAACGCCACATACCTTAACGAACGATGCACCTCAAGCCGAAGAATGTAAAAGACAAGTCACCATGGTCACACTTCAACAGAGTTAAAATTGAATTCACCGGCTAAACTTCAGTTTATATATTTAGGTAGGCTCTGGCCTCCTACCGCTCAGATGAGTCTCCAAACGGCTCTGCGTGCATGAAGTATCGCACTAGCGCCCTCTTGTGTCGAGTAAAACTTTTTGGCATGAATCGCGAATTAACGAACAACGTACATAAATAAAGGCAAAACCGGACGCGACCAGGAGGCTGAACATGCTTGGGTGATTTGTTTTTCCCGTCTAACGTTAGCTGCCGCGAGGATAATAAGCTGCAATAGGTAACACACTTTTCTAACTGTTTTCTTCTTGCAACTTGACAGACTTAATTGGATTCGAACAGTGATACGGGACTGAGCATGCTGAGGAACGTTCGCTACAGTAGGACTACAGGCCTGGACGTTGACAACAGAACTTTACTTTACAACTTACAATACATCCTCATATTAAAAGATCATCTTGGCTTTAACTTCAGTTGTAAATCACTTTATATAGTTTCAGAAGACAAAAATCTGAAGGCATTGAGTCAATGAAAGTTTCCTGTAAAATTGATTAGCCTATTTTTTTAGAAAGAAGTTAATTTTACTTCAAAATATGCTTCACATTCAATCCATTTTACTTCAAAATCCTTTTTTTTCCAGTTACAAAATGGTTGACAGTGCAATCTTTGGCACTCCACCAGAACCAGTCTTCAATCTGAAGGGCTGTTGTCTGTCTTCTGAACTCCTGGAAGAGTTGCTGTATGTACAAGCTGCTCACAATGAGAAGGCAGTCAAAAATTCTGGCAGTGCGGATGGTGCTTTCAAACAAGGGTCCATAGCAGGTAGCCCAGGCCCTAGCTGAATGTTCAGAATGGAAAATCACAATTATTGAGGGTCAATCACAGACAATACCAGGTGTAACGAGGGGCATCTGTTAATTTAAGGGGATTTTAGTGAGGAAAGCCCACTGAATACTGTGGAAACAGGTTTGAAAAGTAGGGTCAAGTTTTTATGTGTTAGGCCTATAAGTGTTTATGTCATTCAGAAAGTTGTGGTCCAGTATGGAAATCTTTCCAGAAAACATGCATTAAAAGAATGCAATAACTCCAGACAGTTTTTGGAAAAATGTTTTGGTAAATTTAATGTATAAAAAAAGAAAGTCATTGTTGCAAAAAGTCAATAAGGTTAAATAAAATTGTATGACGACATACTTTACTAGACATTGCTTGCCTTAAATTTGTCATATTTCCATCTTTTGCAGAAATGATGTTCCTTGTGTGTGATAAGTTTAATCAACCCCCAGAGGCCCGCTATTTAGCCTTGGAGATCTTTGACAGGTACAAAGTTCCTCATGCTGCTCTCAGTCTGCTTTCTTTGTTAACCTTGACTTCCTAAACTGTCATTGGGTAGATTGAAATTGGAAAATTGAAGCTCTGAGTACATGTGCTGATGTACAATATATATTTAAACAGAAGTAACTACATGTACCATAATTGAACCTTTTTGAGCAAATTCAGCTGTAATGTGGAAATTAGGCAACAAAATAAACAAGGGATATAGTTGTTCAAGTTTGAAATAAGAGAGGATGGTCTTCTTTCTCCCCAGGTTTCTTGACTCTTTGATCGTCGGTGTTTATAACAAAAAAAATCATCATTACAAACAGGCTTTGGACTTATGTGTATACAGGATATTCATGTGGCAAAATTATACTTTAAAAATTTTAAAAAAAGGCAGGTTGGACAAGAATCTGGTTTATTAATTTCATTGGTCTAAATATGATATCATGTTGTTGAATATAAACACTGACGAGGCATTTAATGGCGTTCATTTTATCTTTAGAAACTTTCAACTTGGGTAAAACCGTGTTCAGCTGTCATGTCATATCCCTTGATAAGATGCATAGTATCTACCTAATCCCTGTCCATTCAGATTCATGACCAAGTATGCCCGTGACCAGCTCAAAAAGGCCCACTCAGGCAGAGGGGGTTACCAGAAGAAAGCTGCTACCTGGAATTCTTTCCTGCGGAAAATACAGAAACACCTCAAGCTATACATCACGTCCTGCGTGCAGATAGCCAGCAAGATGTGCTCTCATTACAAAGTAGGTCCAGTGAAAAAGCTAGCCTGAGCTCTGGTATAAACACATGCTTCTTCCCCCTCTTAAACCAGATATCCTTTCTTAATAAGCTTATATATTCCATTTTAGCCAGCTCCCCAACTTCTGGCCGAAACGTGAAAGTTATGAATGGTATGCATGGAAACAACTGAAATAAGTGTTTGTTTTTAATAGTCTATAATTGTGCATTTGAGAATCAGCAAGTTCGCCAAATCAGATCATTTCTCCTCCAGTCGCAGGCTGTGGGCAGTGATGTCCATATAACAGTTCTTTAGTACAACATGGTCTCGAACTTGAGTTTGCCAAAGAAAACGTGAAGACTTTAAAAATTCATCTAAATCTAAAGATGAAAGTTGCCGCAGGTTGTGTTGCAAACCTTTAAAGATCAAATCTCTTTATTGTCACAATCACAAGAGCTACAGCGAAAATGACGCCACAGAGCCATTTTCTGTGAGCTGTGGAATCAAGATTTCAACCTAAATGTTTGCACATATGGTGGTTAAGCCGGCCATAAATTCTGTAGTCCATCTACCTCCTTCCCTCGTGTATTTCACCACAGATCATCCCTAAATAAGACTGGTTCAAAATCTGTTAAATTCTTTCCGAAACCTTCTCTTCTCTCGTAGATTTTGACAAATCGGAAATGCAGCAGGTTTCTCCTGGATGCTGGGCTGGGCTGTACCTCGGCAACCATCCTGAGGACAGAGCTGACCATCCTGGAGACACTGGACTATCACGTCTATGCAACCTCACCGCTCACATACATCGAAACTCTCCTGGAGATCATGGGTAGGTGTTAAATTCCCTGGGGGTTGGAGGAAGAGAGTGAGAGAAGTAGACATTCCAGTAAGCAAGAGACTGTTGAAAGTCCTGCCCACCTGATGTCATAGAATTAGGAGAGGGATGTCAAAGTTGAATGGAGAAAGTGTTTGCAGAAATCTGGCCAAAGCACCACAATATATTTCTTGTGACTCTGAAAAAAGTTCAGTCGGGAAAGTTGGCAATTTTACCCGTTATTTTTGGGAGCTAAAAATAAAGATCCGTTTTATAAACTTTTAATAAGAAAATAGAACTGCACTGTGAATATCAACGTTATCACAGTGCTGTTTATTCTTTGATTTAAAAGTTAGCAATTTATTACATTTGTGTAAGATGAGATAGAAAGTGGTCATAAATTTTCAGAAAATATATGAAACCATATTTGTTTCTCATTGTTTTTTGTGGGAGTTACTTGCTTGGGGCAGGCATCCAGACAAATAAGAATGTTGTAAGTGGCCTGACAGGATGGACGTATTAAAACCCTGGTGGAAATACTGCTAATGTACAAAAAATACAAGAAGACTTTCTTCTGTTGACAGTTCATGACTTCTGTAATTTCTCCCAGGGCACAATGACAAAAGCACCAGCATGAAAATCCTACACGAGACCAGTATGAAAGTGATGGACCTAGCTTACTTGCGACGCAGCGCAGTGTATGACGAACTCTTCAGGGTGGCTACAGGTGGAATGACTGGTTCTGCCAAGGACAGGTATACAATGCAACAATACTGTAGAGTTTCTAGAGTCTGCTTTGTAAAATAAAAACTGCAGACTGAGTTGCTGACAGAGAAAGGATCTCGCAAAATGGGTCTTAAGAGACTTCAATCCATTTGACAGTTTTGCGTATGTATTAGAGAGCCCTTTATGTTGATATATTGCTCAGTTTGAAGTGATGACTACAGGCATTACACAGGTTGGAAATGTTTAATTAGTTTCCATCGTGGAATATTTAAGATTTTAGAATCCAAGAAATTCCTGTGGTGACTTCAAATTTATTTTTTTGGGCTGGGTCACAACTGGCTTTCATTGAATAATGATTGAAACCAAGAAGCAAGTTTTCTTGATACTTGAAATGCAACATGGGCCATTCCACAAAGTTGAGGAACATGGTGACATTTCAACATTTTATAGATGGGGTATGGGGGCCACTGAGTGAAACCCTGTTGCTTTCCATGTTGCTTCGGACTCATCTTTTGGTTCTCAAATGTTCCAGTGCATTTTGAAATTTTGGTCTGATATTTTAAGGACAAACTGTTCGTGCATGTAACAGGGACACCACATTATTTCTATCAAGTTTGGTTAAAGCTGTATTTTTTGGCATCACATTCCCCAAAGTAACTAGCTTGGAGCCAAGCTTAACACTCCTGACCTGAATTGTGATAACAGTCATTCTATGAAATCCGTCAATTACGACCAAATTCACAAACGTGACGTTAGGTGTCAACTGACAGATCTTTTTTGGAATGTCATTAAGACCTCATCCCTAGTGCTAGGAATCTTGGGTTGTGTTCTCAGCTGTTCATTTGGGAGGAAATTGACCTCACAAAATTGAAGTTCAGCCAAACTTGACAAAATGATGTGATGTCCCTGTTACATCTGCAACCAGTTTCTTTTTAAAATATTATGCTGATTGATTTCAAAACGACCCAATACATTCCAGTTTGACTGCAATAGTCACATTCAATGTTGTACTACATTTGAGTTTTATCTGAGTGACCCTTCACATCTCAACTGAAAAAAATTTCCAAATGTCATAAAATAGTCCTCAACTTTGTGGAATGGCCCAAATACTTGAAAGGCACTCTCTTGTCAAACAAGATAGGACAATTACCACCACACAAGATTTGACGGCAGCAAGGGTCCCACTAAAACAACAGTAAAGTTACTGGATGGCAGTGATTGAATAGTTCTCCAAAGGCATCTTGATTGAAGGGATAATATCTTGAAGCTGTTCAAGGCATGATTTGGACTTAAGGCGTTAAACAAAAATCCCAAATGACAAACAATCTCGGTATTCACTCTTTGCATGCTGCTGCCATAGGCATGCAGAGCCTCGAACCGGCAGCTTGTACAACCACGTCAGAATCGCTTTGTCCAATCACATGGTGTAAGAACTAACACAGCTCTCGCAAAATCACATAAGTGACATACACAGGAATTGCCAAATCGGCTATATTTACATGTATTGTGTAAAGCTGCTGGATCCAGGATCTGTATGCCTGTGGTGGCAGCGTGCAAAGAATGAACAGTGCCAATTTTCTTCTCGTCCAGGGAAAGTTTTGCCATGGTTGAGCACGACATAATGCTGTTTGCAGTGGCAGTGATCGGTGCAGCATCCTACGTGATTGACAAGACCACAAGTGATCAGGTATTAAAATCCATCAGTAGTACTTATTGACAAGAGTTCCAGATCCGCACACCAATTGACATGCTGTGCACAAACCCTACGAGACTGGCCTGAAAAATTTGGAGTGTTTTCAAGAAAATTCTCTGTTTTCCTGATTAAATTAGACTTTTTAGGACATAATATCACTTTCCGATGGCGAATAAAACCACAGTGGAAAATCAGTGATGTCTGTAACATGGAACTCTTACCAAAACATGATTATTCTTACAGGAACTTTATCTGGACCAAAATTCATGGTCCTGAGAAGCACTTACAATTTGTGGCTTTCTAGGTAAAAGTTTTCAAAGAAACCTATTCAAGCATCAGCAGAGGTGGATGAAAAACCTCTTGATGGCCCTTTATCTTCTAGTCAAGGGTACCAGCCATAATCTTGTCCAGATAAGTCTAAATATGTCCTATTAGGGCCTAAAATTAGCCCAAACTTCCAAGTGAAAAATGCCTGAAATGAGACTTCCTGAAAACTGGCACTTACCAGTGACCCTTTCTTGTGTTTTTCTCAAATCGAGATGGCTATGAAAACACAGTTTTTTAGTTACCAGAGTTACCAGAGATCATATACTTTCTACCTTTTCAAAAAGTGTGACCTTAAAAATTGGCATTGTCTAAGGCTTCGGGTAATCACAGATGTGCATGAACAGTTTAAAAAAAACCAGCCAACAACAGTTCCTCTGTCCATGGATCACAGAATAGGGTTAGAGTATATAGAATCCCAGTTTCCAGGTGCTATTGCCGAGCATATTTCAAGACTACTTTGGGTGTCTTCTTTACCTGCTGTCAACTTAAATATTTAGAGATGGAAAGTACTTCTAAAGACTTCTACTGTTTCGTTGTATTTTTCTCTGTTTTTAGGTGATTGATCATCTAAGCCGCATCACATGCATCCCTACTGACGACATACTGGAGTTTGCTACCGTCCTCGTCCAGATCACTCTCCAGTTAGACCGTCATCAGTGACAAAATCCACCTCACTTCAGCCTTGGGTTCAAGACACAAGTCGTCACCGGTATTGCCCGCAGTTACAAATTTACCCGCAAACCAAGCCATCACTTTGAATTTATAGTTCAGTTATGTGACTGCTTAAATTCCATTCGAGGGCAGACACACCAAAAAGTGACAATAACCCTCGGAACTCTGGAATGAAACGACAGATTCAGAACAAAGTCTCTTTGGGGAGCCCCCTGCAATCTCTTTACGTCGTGGGCTCCATCAAGTGTGAGGCCAAATTTGGAGGTTTCGTGCCCTTGGAAGACAGGGAGATAACATACTCTAAAAAACAGTTGTCCATTCATTTTATTTAATTTACTGAAAATGAGAACGGATCACCTTTTTCTCATAATCTATACGACACTTCCATCTCAAAGAGATAAATTCCCACGTATTCTTAGTTCTGTTTACTGCACAGAATTTTAAACGGTAAGACAAAGCCACACACATCGATTTAAGTAAACAACGAAGTGATCAAGTGTAGACGACAGTGCTTTTGTGGCTCACAGTAGGAAGAATCCTGTTTCTGATATGAAGAGACTGGAAGCTGTCCTGCCAACAGTATTTTCACACTAGTGAATTGCACACTTAATTCAATATGCATTTCATTGAAAGAAAATAGTTCAGCGTTTACAAATTGTATGTGCATCCTTTCCCAAGCCATGATAATTTGGGCAGACATTAGACAAAGATTAGATTTTTGCTGGACGAATGTACGGAGAACAATCCACAAAATCCAAACAGCTGGAGTAAGCTTGTCTATAAATCTAGATCAAATGACAGGTACGACATGAGCGCTGTGAAAAAGATACTCCAAAATACATACGACACATACAAGTGACTATCAATACCTCAATGTACATGTGTCTAGTTGCTGGATTTCTCCACATGTGGCCTCTGCACCTGGCCACTGCCCTGATTTGGCGCCCTCTCTTGACTCCTTTGTATAATAGGAGCAGTTTACCTACTTTCTCAAGAAAACATAATCAAACCTCATCCTCAAATGATTCCTCATATTTGACCATCAAAATATATAGATCTCATGCCTGGCTCTCCAAGAAAATTTTCTTTTTCAGATTTCAAATGAAAATCTTCACCATTTCTTTGGTATACTTCACTCAGTATTAATAACTTCTTAACGGTCTCATAATTGTAATGAACATATAAAAACCTAAGTATCAGGTCTTTTATTTACTTTTTTTAAGCATACATTGTTAAACAGATATTCCCAGAATTCCTCACTTCTTGTCTGCATGTTAGTAGCACAGATTTTATTACTCATTTACTTTGACCTTTCATTTTGTTTCCTTCTTTCACCTCTCATCTTTACGGCACACAATACATTACCATGCTGTTCTGAAGAAAGAACAAGGACTTACAATGTACTTTCCATCCTTGGACAACAAAAATCATAATGGCTCTCAAACTCACGGACATACAGAAAAAAATCTGGACTCGGACTGAATGCCCTTAATCAGCTTATAGAGATCGTTGAATCCACTAGCGGCCATTTTACCAAGCCGAATACAAAGCTTGCCCGGCAATACCTGCCTTTAGTTCTCCCTGGCGTCAATAGAAGCGCGCCAACCCACGCATTTGTATTCAGCTCTGTAAAATGGCCGCTGCTTGGCTTGTATTTCATATAAAGGCATTGCAAGTCCAGGTTGTTTTTTACGTCCGTGCTCCAACTGTTAAATATAAATGCCCGTGTTTATAGCACCGTGAATAAATCATATCAAAGTACAAATGTCTGTTTAGTGATGTACGCCACCTTGTTTTGACAGATCAAACATTTAAATGTACAAGAGCTATCTATGCTGCGTAGCTGATGCCAAGCAGTCTGCTCAAGAACTCTTTTCATTCACATTAATGTCCTTCAGGTCATATCTGTTTAGGGTCAGGAGCAGATATTTTTTTCTGGGGAAAAATCGACTAAGCCATCAGTCCTAGAAGACAAACAAAAATTCATTTTTTTTGTTTATAGCAGTGGGTACAGAAAGGCCGGGGATTTGGACCTTAAAAAACAGAAATTTATGAGACAGGAAAATAATGACTTTTTAACCAATAATCCGTAAAACATCACCTGAAAATGTGCAGAGATACACAGTACATGTAACTTGACTATAAGCACAAGTGACAGGAAATCCAGTTGTGTGGTGTACTGTCATGACTACCTCATGTAGTGGCAACTTCATAT